CTATAAATCCTCACACTGCTACTGCATGTAGTTCGAGCATTGGAAACACAGAATGGTGGAAGTGGCTACCGCGATTGCCACTGTCAAATAGAATAGTCTCCGCTCCACTAGTTGATTTGAAGGAGTGCAATGATATGAGCTTCCAAGGTCAACGCCCTGCAAGAAATATGATTGTACTACTCGTTGTTTCGTCCTCTAGGAGGATGTCATTTTAATTAAACTTTCATGTTATGGAGACAAAATCCCGTTCCCCCACTCTACTGAATCGGTCCATGTCTTCTTGATTTATGTTAATATTAATACCCCTTTTGTCCTGAATTCAAATCTATTTCTGTTGATACCCCGTTGGCGCGTTTACAGCATTATATGTTTCTCTCTTCTCTTCTATAGCCACTCCACGGTTAAATGAATATGCGTGTATAATAAAGTACTACCCTCATTTCTCGCAACATAGTCTTTGTCTTCATAAGCAGATGGTGTCCGAGCACTATAAATTAAATGATACACTCAACTCTCCATTAAACATTGTCATATGAAGCTATGTAAACCAAAATAACAATCTTATATCGATATTGTTACCTTACTAACCCACCCGACGTTTGTCTACATTAATTAGGGCATATACCTTTGTCCTGCGACCGTCGTTTTCATCAGCAAATTAGGTGGACAGGCACTTATGCCGAATTCAACAGTAATAGCCGTTTAATATGCTTCAAGTTTCACATGTAATGGAGGTGAGAAAGATTCGAACGAAAATTAGGTACATAGCTAACGCAGGAACATATTCCAAGAGGCTGTGGAGTAGATCTCCTGAAATAGCCATGACACCGCGGGCGGTACCGAAACAAAGGTTCGAAAGTGCTCAACAGTTAGTTCTTCGAATTCTAGTAATCGTGAAGATGTGGGAACATGTATGTATACAGAAGTTAGAACGGACCAGCCAGGATATATGTTGAGGAAATAAAACGGATATGGCCGCCACAAAATGACGTTGATATCTGTCGTGAAAGTGGATAAGCCCCGGCCCGCCGTTGCCATTTTCCTTATATGCGATTATTTTTATTTTTTGTTTCACCCCGAGACGTGGCCGACAATGACACATGGCAGCTAAAAGAAAGAAGTCAAAAATGTCAACTTTCACAGAATGCCAAGGCCGTAAGAAGCGGGAATATCCATTCGCAGTGGTGGATATTTTATATATTTGAATTCGGAGCAGATAATACAAAGGAGTCGTGCGATCAAAGAAATGGGTAGAAAACCGGCATTCATAGTTCCGTTTGATAAACATACAGCAAGGTGATCGGTCTTTAGATAGAGCTCCTCTAAGTAGAAGGATGAGGAGGCAGGTCCAGGATCTGTTGAAGCGTTGTTATGCGAGTTGCCAGATAAAATACAAGCCGAAAGCTACGCGCCGGCGGCAGACCAATGACACTATTGAGATGATGCTTGCATGTACCTTTCGTAGGTCCGGCGATCAGCCCAGAAGGGATAGATATCTTTCTCCTCTGGTCTAGATGAGATGTACATAAGAACGCCACTTCCTTCTCATCATTTGTGGTAGTAATGACCGTGGGTCAGTGTGAGAAGAGAGGAACGCCGGTGATCCATCAAGAGCGACAGTGGACAGTGGAATTTACAGTGGCGACGACTTCAAAGACCAGGAAGGGAGGACCGATACCCGAGGTGCCAGCGTAAAGATAGGACAATGAGCTCAACCACTGGGCCGTGAGGCGATGCGTAGCTTACAACTATATTAAGTTGAGGGGTTAAATGACAGCCTTGAGATGGATATCGGATAGATGGCGAGGGAAGAGACATTAACGAAACAACAATACAACCCAGCCAACTAGTAGTCCTTTCAAGACATAATAAAATAAAGGGCCCTTCTGTGCGTACTTGATAACCGCGCGGAGCCTCGGAAAGTTGACAAGTATGTTTAGGCGAGGTACCACCGAATACGGAGGGAAAAAAAAAAAAACAGAATGTACCCCAGATACCCCGAAAACGTGCTTCGGGACCGAGTGATCAAAGGAACTCCAGATTCGTCCACAGCATTTCAGAAATAAACACATCGAAATCTATGAGCCAACCAATTAGAATTTAGATACCGGGTCGCAGCTTGAATGACGAAATGAAAATCAATACCAGCCCCAAATTGAGAATGTAAAACACCCTGGCATCAGAAATATAGTCTGACTTCGAACGGATAAAAGAATTCGTATATCAGACGACCAAGGAAGAAAAAGCAGTAAATGAAAAATATGACACGAGTCCAAAACCACATAGAGCATACCTGGCACAGCTCTCTGAGACTCGATAGAGTTTCTTGCTTGGTACTATAAAAGCCAGACATGGATTAACACGTGTACACAGAGGTCGGTGCGCTTGTAGGGTGTAGAGGGGAAAACATCTGAAGCAATGATTTTGCTGACGTCCCGGCTTCTAGATGCCGTTATGGAATGCGGGGTAGGTATCAAGAGTGCGGGGTAGACGCGTGTGATTGAGTACCATCAGGAACGAAACCTAAACTCATCAGGAGCTGGGAAACCAACTTGAAGTGACGCTATGTGAAACCATATCTGACGACCTGAGGTTCGCTGTGATTGCGTTGCGCATGGTCGTCATGAGGGGTGTAGTGCGTAGAATGCCATAAAGTCCACGCAAGTCTACCCGTAAGCCCGGGGGAAGTTGCAGAGAAACGAAGAACACTAGGAGAACCGGAACATCCAGCTCTTGCATCTTCAGCCAAATGGAGTCGAAGTGAGGGTAATCAGGGTGTCTTTGGGCACTTTCAACTTTGGTCGCACATGGGAATAGGATGCGAATCACCCACCTAAAGCCACCGTACGTCCATTACTCGCCATCCAATCGTATTCGCCCAGTCAAGCCCTCATCCGTCAAGATCCGACCAATCTCAGGAGAAAACCATATGGGGATGGCGTTCTAAGGCTCAAAGTTGAGAGAAAGCTGCTTTTGGAATCGGTAGATCATCGATGAAGTTAGAAAACCGTTTGAGGTATATTGAAGGAGCTTATGGTGGTGATCGTAACGAGTATTTGACAAGGATACATGTTGTACCTGTGGTGATAGAAAGTACTCACCCGATAGATCCTTCTTGTAAGCGCGACACCCTCCTCCTCCCGCAGAATGAAATCCTCATCCATGCGTAATACTCTCTGTCGCCATCTAGCCACCAACATCTAACAGAAAAGTAGATTAGAAATCCAAGAATGAGGTCAAACCCGCGCAGCAATGAAATTTGGTGGTAATGATGTGAAAATATATCCAACCAATCCAGAAAGAACACAGCTCGAAGCAAGACGACCATATTGCTAGAATCCCAGAGATCATCAAGGTAATATAGAAGGAAAAGAGAAAACGTGAACGAGAAATGTAGGATTCGGGCCATAGTGACCATACGCCACTGGCCCAGCATATAGCGAAGGCGAGTGGAGGATTTTACTGGGCCTGACAGCTAAAGATGAGGGAGAGAGGAAACAGGAAACTATCGAGACGCACCTTTATAGCAACTCAAGAGCTGTAGACTTGCGTGTAGGCACCTGACTATAGGCGGATCACGATGACTGGTCACCTGTACATTTCGTTACACAACGTCCAGTCATGGGCTTTGAGTTACGATTGATATGAATTAATGCTACGCTCAGCAGGATGATAACGTGGTCATCCGACTTGCTTCCGTCGGCCTGTGCCCCATTGTAAAAATTTGGACACATGTTAAGTATCTAATAAAATGAAATGGATCAGCGAATAATATGAAGCAAATTGACGCCAGGATCTTCCTCGTGACACGAGCGAGGTGATGAGTTTAACACATACAAGGTCACTAATTGTCGTTTTGTATAATGAAAAAATTGGAAACACGTCCTGTCAGATGAGAGATGCTATTTGTCTAGGTTTCATTGAGGGGCGCTACTATGCGTGAATTCCTCGCATTCGAACTTCTTGGGGAAAACTACGGAAAATGATCATCCAATGTACAAGGTAATGAGGTTCTACATATATATTAGTTTGGGATATGAATTGAGATAGAATAGAAAAAAGTCCGCGAGTAATCAGCAGCGTCAGAGTTGGACTGGATCAATGACGAATCAAGTTAGTGCCGAGATGGCGGACGTATTGAATCCTGCTGCCAGGTTCGATGAGAAAGACCATACGTATAGCACGAAAAGACAACTAGTGTCTTAGATTAACTTCGGATTAACTCGTTGATGCAGCCATTGTTGAAGTCCTCTAAGTCTAAAGAGAAATTTGAAGAGTTCAGGTGCTCTTTATGGAGAGCTGACTGCAACGAAGAAGGAGCGCTGTAAAGAAGATAGATGTGGGCAGCTCTTTGACGCGCTGAGAACGATAGAATGGAGATAGTAAAACTTTCGAGTCCGCGGCAAGTTGGTTAACTGTTGCTGAGTATGGATACAAACGGGTACAGGCTTGTAAAACAAACTCGTCCAAATAATGTGTGCGCGTGACGTCTACAAATTGAAATGCAACTTGCATGCCAAACTATGTAGAAGTCGATAGAAGAGACAAAGCCTTAGGGAAGTTCAGTGTAATCGAGTCGATACCGCTGTAAATTGTAGTTATATTTTGAAATGTTTGATCGTAATTTGTTATTATCAGGGTCGTTGAACTATACGCAGTACTGTACATGCCCTAAGGCTATTCAGCCCCTAAGTCAATTAAGTCTCAGAAGCCAAAAGAGGCAAACGTTGCAAAATATATAGGGCCTGACTGGGAATTGAACCCAGGACCTCCTCGAAATGGTTGATAAGCCCTAACAAGGAATCATACTACTAGACCATCAGGCCTGTGACAAGGGTAGGGTTCACTGTCTCGGTGATCTTCAACAAACAATAGTATAGCAGTTTTATCAGAAAATATTAGATTTGCCTTTCGGAGTCTTCTGGAGGAGTAACAGAGCAATAATCACAGACCTGCGAATATCAGATCATCAATATGTGATATATGTCATTGGGTTATATGGGGGCATAGCTCAGTTGGGAGAGCAGTAGACTGAAGCGTGCCATATGTATTCTAAAGGTCCCGCGTTCGATCCGCGGTGCCCCCATCTTTTGCTTCATATTCAACGATTCACGAGTAGCAACCGAAACTCATATTATTATTTTTACTGCTGCGTAAGTGCTCGTTTCTAAGTTATAAAAGTGCTTAGTCATTTCTATTTTTCAGCTTAAGACAGACGACTGTGACATAGGAATCTTTATTAATGGCAGAAATGAGAAGATACAGATAATCGGAGCCATGTGTCAGTATATAAGAGTGAGGGAACAAGATTTAGGCCCTAGAAATTTTGTAACTTTACATCTTGTTAGACATTAATTATCGTGATGTCAGCTACACTATTCAATCTATCCAAAAAGCGAGACCCAGGAGTCATACTTCGAGAGTCAGTTTAAGACATAATATCCCAGAAAAATCAGATTTGCCATGTCATTATGCATTATGGCGGCTGACAGCCTGATGAACATAAGGTTTCACAAAATGTGATCAGCTTTAGTGGAGAGATGTATCAGGACGATGCCATGCTCGATAATTGTGCTATAATAACCAGTAAGGTATATTATGTATATATGCGAAAAGTGCTGAAACGCATGATATGCTAAAGTCACTTCGTATATAACAAATTTGTATTTTCCAACAGTGAAATTGAGAACATAACGATCAAAAATGTCACATTCAAAAGACATCGGGCCTGACTGGGAATTGAACCCAGGACCTCCTCGAAACGACTGTTAAGACCCTAACAAGGAATCATACTACTAGACCATCAGGCCGATATTGTGACTCTCATTGTAGGATTCATAGTGAGTGCCTGAACCTCTGGCGAATTCTTTTTCGTTGCTTAGTCCTTGCCGTCATTCTACGAAGATGGGTACTAAGCTTGCTCGATTCTAGTTGTTGTATGAATAATACTTTCTTTTGAGATGATTATGTAGAACTTTATTTCCAATCCATAATTAAACCGTTGCCCAATTCTACTTCTATTATGAACAAATATATTTCTCAGTCCTCCAACTCTGTATCCGCCCAGCATAACCAACATGGAAGAGTAGACTCAGGCTAAGTGAGCCTATACACTCGAATTAATTTTCCATCGGCGAGCTTAGCTCACCCGCTGGTCAAGCATACGAATTAGCACTCAGAAATGACAAAGAATATGAAAATAGGCTAACGCTTGGGCGTGGATGTGAGCGGTGTTTGTTCTCGTGAAATATGCCACCAACACATGAGTGCCTTAAGCGTGTTTCTCGACAGTAGCACATGCAGTGCAAGGACAGGTACGATACCTTATTGCATCGCAGTTACAATGGCGGATACAAGTGCTTTTCGAAGTGCGAGATGTCTTCATCAGCTGGTTGTGGGTTCGGCGTGAGTATAGTCCTGAACCTGTCAATTTCACGTCTAAGTTGTTAGTAGAATGCTACTGGAAGGACTTGTTCATCATGCTGAATAGGGTAGAGCACGACCAGGTACGTTGTATCAAACCGCTTAGATCGGCTATTGATGTAGAGTACAGCCCAAATGGAGTCTCCGACCCAACATTGTATTGTGACAGAAGAAATGAACGCTCTGACAAGCGGAGAATCAAGAAGGAATCTAACAAGCAATGTCAGAATAGTGTCATTGAATAAGGAGGAATGTAGAGTAAAGATCTGTTGTTATTGACGTTCAGGTTAAATTGCCTTGAAAAGGTACTATGAAGTAGCCGCCTATAAGTGGCTTCAACGTTACTGTATGCGGCATCGGAAGAATAACTTCGAGATAGCGCTGTAACACAAGTTCGTCAGCTGCCATGCGATTTAGATCTATGGAGTTGATTCACCAGGTCATACGGACATGGAGATCGATATCTGTTAATAAACGCTGAGTGGATTGTACGGCAGCGTCTTCGAACGCGTGCGCGACGGTTCCTGTCAATGCAAAATTAAATGTTGAAGAGGGTCATATGAGCTGTTCAAATATTGAACCACCTAAAAAGTAGCTATCCACTGGGTGCACGGAAAACGACTTACCTTACGGCATGAACAGTTCCCGCAGTTTTTTTTTTTGCTAAGTTGTGTAGAGATTTGTGTATCGCATTCAGGAATGATATATGATAAGTAGAACATACACGAAGTGTAGGGGACGTCCATCGACGCGAGTGAATCTTAATCGTTACAATTGGTTAATATTGAATGAGTATCTTGTTGCTTCTTTCCGTGCACTGCCTCTGTCTTCTCTTCCATGCCCTCCTTCTCATCTTCAACTTGTCAAAGACGATTGTAGAAAGGGAACCAAAGGCACGCAATGCCTCTTCCCATCGCGTATGGTATTTATCACTTCTTCAGATCGCCACTCACTTCCCGCGGGGCTTCCATGTACCGGCACCGATACCGACACCAAAGCTGCCAAAGGCACCACCGCCAATGACAGGACCTGCACTTGCGGGTGAGTCTCCGCCGAAACCGGGACCACCGCCGAAGGAACGAGTGGGTCCGTGTCCTGGAGTGCTGCTACCGGTTTGGAAGGACGAGCGATAGGAGGTGGTGGGCATAGATTGGATAGAGATGAACTTGTTTGGAGGTGGACGGTCGTCAGAGTTGTACTAGAGAAGGTGGTTAGCTGAAACCATCGATAAGAATGCAGAAAGAACTAACCTGGAACTCCAATCCGATACTATCCGCCTCAGAAACGTCCAGCAGCTTCACAAGCTTCTTTCCTATTCCATTCAATTTCTCCACATCATCCTTGCTCCTAGTCCACACCTGTATGCGATCGACCTTGCTCCTCAAACTAACCACGGCACCGCAGATCTCATCGCCATCCTCCAGCTCCTCGCCAACCAGAGCCATTGCTAGCCAATTCCAGCACCGATCCAGTAACGCTGGGTTGTTCTTCATCGTCAGGACCCACTTGCCTCCGTTCGCATTTGCCTCGTCCTCCCACATCGGTTTGATGCCCGACTTGAAGAGATGGTAGTTGGAGTTGCGCTCGAGCTGCGAAGGGGGCTTGAGCCAGTTGAAGTAGCGGCAGAATTGCTCGACCGTGTCAAACTCGCCGACGACAGTCAAGCCTGCTTCATAGTCAGTGGACTCGGGGGGATGGGGGGTGAACTCGCCAGCGTTGGAGGGTGTCGCAGAGGGTGGCACTGCACTAGCTGGGGCAGGGGTATATGGGTATTTGGACTTGGAGTCGTGGTAGATGGTCCTAGGAAGGGATTAAAGAAGTTAATAATAGCCCATAAAATACAGTTGATGATGGAAAAAAGAAGTCTATGTTAAGGCTCGGAAAGTGCGATAGCCCGACTAAGATTTGGAAGTATACAGATGCGTTATGGCATTCACAATGCAAGATCCTTCACAGAAAGTTATGCATTCTTAAATAACCATCCATAGACTTCCTTTGCATAGGATTAGGCATAAAACCTGGATGACAAGCCCAGCATCGAAATAGGCGTTATCGCTAAGGCAAATGAGCCTTATACACTAGGTATAAAGATATGATAAGGCAACAACCATGCAAAATCTCGCAAGATAGTGTATGGACCCCTTTAGAGCCAAGAAACGTGGATAAGACGACACGAAATTCAAAAGAGAGAAGCACACGACGCCACACGATCTGCAAAAATACTCACCATGCAAACTGTAACGGGTGCTCTTGGGGCTTCATTGTCACTCCAGGCGTCTTCGGATCTTCAATCAGCTCCGGTTCAGGCGGGTTGGGAGTCCCATCGATGCTCAGCGCGCGCGCCTTCGCCAATCTCGCCGTGATAGCATCGAGACTGGGAATATTCTTGTATCCCCGTGGGGGTTTCTTCTCTGCAGGAGCAGCTGCCGTCTCTTCGTTGAGTTTCTCTACTTTCTCGGTAGTCAAAGCCTGTCCCCCGCTGTCGTTAGTCGGGGTGCCCGTAGATCGAGGCGGGGAGCCTGGGAGGTTGGATGGCGAGGTCGAACGCGTGCTCGGGGCGTTGACAGCAACTGAATCAGTCGTAGATGCGAGTGTAGAGACTGAGGCCGCTGATCCTGTTCGCAAGATAGACGCAGCGAGACGAGGACGAGGTGCTGACGTTGTGGCTGCTGGGGTGCCATTTTGGCCATTGATGGTCATCCTGGCAGCCAGCTGGTTCAGCGACGGCGGGCGGCCAGCGCCAGGAAGTTTGAGGGGTGCATCAGAAGTGGGTTTCGTAGTTGACATGGTGGTGGTACAGAGCTGAGGAGTTTGACGATGGAGGCTCCTGAAGAAGAGCAACAGTCACCGCCAAACACTGCCATCATCGATTCCATGATGCGTGCGTCTACACTCATTTAATTGGCGCCCAACAATAACGCCCGATAAGATTAGAGCACAAGTAATAATATAGGTGTAATAATATAGATGAGGTCAAGTAAAGGATACATCGCGGGCAAATAGGCTACAGGTTGGATAATAGGAAAAGTAGAACGAAGTGACGTGTAGAGAGAGGGTATATGCATACGAATTCTAAGTTAATGTTTGTTTCGAATTAACACTCCAAGCATTGGACGCTCGATAAGAAGAAGGATGGTTAACTGAGTAGTCAGAGAAATCATCGTACATAGGATCGTCCGAGAATTCGGTGAGCACAATGCTAGTGAAGGTCGTAACCTGACTAAAGGATGTAGCCTTGGAAGAAGTAAAGTCGTCCGGGGAAGCAGTACGTTCTATGTCTTCTATTCTTCTAAACCTGCGATAGATGCAGGTGACCACGACGAGAATATTGCACACAATCAGCGCGATAGCCATCTGATATCGACTATCAGGATTGAACCGAATGATAACGCTGAATTACATACCTCGAGATGGACAATCATCGATCGAATAAGCTCCGGATATGGATTCTTGTCTATCAGTGGACTGAAAGTACAGGCGCATAGAGTGACTGCAGAAAGCAACGTCAGAATGCTAGCCGAAAAGAGCGTGAGCACTAGGCGGCGCTGGTTAGCAGGAAGACGGACCCTCCAAAGTAGATGGAGAGAAGAGCCGATGAGGAGCGTATCTGCAACTATGTCGAAGGTTACCCCAGCAATCGCGAGCCGACTGTGGTCGATGGGGCAGTGTATGAAATCGACAGGGTCTAGTTTTGCAGCATCGCCGCAGCGCAAATTCAGCTCCCAGCTAATGAGGAGCAGAAAGACCATGCAAAAGGCAGCTGCCAAGCCTATCGCAAATTGACGAGGTCGACAGTTGGGTGGAAAGACACGAACAAGGGAAAGAGCGAGACTGATACGAGAGAACCTACAAGAGAGGTATAAGTTTTAGTGAAGCTGGAAGAAGGTGAATATATGCGTACCATATAATGAAAAAGACTGGAATAGCCAACAGATAGTATAGAATTGCTTTCCGCTTGGTATATCCTGGTTCTACAAAAGCTAGAATATCAGATACGAAGCTCGCAGAAACAAACTACTGAACGCACCTGAATTAATAAATTGAAGCCACAGAACCACGACGTTTATAAGCTCCATTAAAAGGGGTACCAGCGTCACATAGTCGTCCCACCATAGCTTCCGCGCATTATAACGGTGGTAGAGACGATGAAGGGTAGAAAAAATCGCTAATGAATGAAGAAGTGTGATAGGAACTGTAATGATCACATTAGAACGTCACAAACCAGAAGCCTTCCTCACAGCATACGCACTTTTCCAACCCAGCAATACACTTTCTGGTACCATCTGACGGCTCACCACGACAGGACTCGAGTGGCGACGTCCCGATTTTACAGCCCGTCCGTGGAACAACGGAGGCCGGTATACCCAGCAGGTATGGAGGGCCCACA